AATGGCAGTGCAGGCAGTGAAGACATTACCAGTACACAGAATATACCTGAGCCTTCTTCCAAATGATATTGCCACAGGTGGAAAAACTGAGTGCAAGCTATCTCCTTTTTCCAAGCAGAACATGATAACCTGAGCTTCTATGATCTTCTGCAGAGTCTGCATTGGTTTACAAGAATAAAGGCTGGAGTGCATAAGGAGTAGACACAGAATGACATCTGCCAACTCTCCTATGGGGAAATGCCCATGCAAATGATATCTTTAAACACAGCATTCACTTGCTGCGGTCCTCAAAAATGGATCCTCCAAAATGCAATTATTGTCCAGTCTGATTAGAAAAAACACTCTCTCCACCCCACTGCAAGCAACTGCAGTAGCTTGGGAGCAGCTGCTGGCACATTAGCAGGAGAAAAATATGGTGAGTTGTTGTTCAACAGCTTGCAGATTGTTTGTGTTTTGAGATCAGAAGCTCTTGGACAACAGCTATGTAGATGAACTATACAGGTCAGGAGAGATTTCTGGAGTTCTTCATCTAACCACTTACACACACAGTTACAGACAGTGCTAGTGACTGGCACATAGCAGCTGTAACATAGCCATGATGTTCAGGAACAGGAATATTAGCAAATGCTCTTGACCACTCAAAACCCTGAGGGCAGAGTACGTAGCTGTGAGAAGATCACCTCGGCATGCACGATGCATAGCAGTAATTAAGAGGAATTGAAGCTCTGTCTCAGAGTGCCCACAGTTCTACATTTCTGCATTTTAAACTGCCTGAGTTTTTGTTGTTGCTGATGGTGTGTTTGAAGATTAAATGCTATGTGCAGCAACAGATGTTAGTGATCTCATTCAGAGCTGAATACCTTTTTACACATGGTTTGGTTGTGCACCAGGGGCCAAGAACTTTGGCTGTAGATAAGCCAAATCAAAATCTGTTTTAACTGGCATATTGAGTCCATTGTCTATAAACATTCACATTATGAGAATGAGATCAAACCTGCCAAGGGACATTATTTTGTTGTGAAACGTATTTGCCCATTACAGAAGAATGACTAGAAAAGAATGGAAAAGTGGTGATTATTGAACTGTGTAGCAGCGGCCCAAATCTGTTTAAAAGCTCCACTAATTGCAAGCAAACACGATCTTGGCGAACAGAGGGACAGAATCACAAATATTTGTATAGAAAACATTCAAGAAAGAGGAGGAGAGGATACCCTTCAAGGAATAAAGCAAAGAAGCACTAGAGCTTGGCAGCTCCTGCCCTGCTTTGATTGGATGGGTGGCAGCTACTAAAGAGCACTGTTGAAAAGATTAGTGCCAGTCTGGATGGGTTTTCCCTAGGAAAATGAAAAACAACAGGCCAGGAAATAGAAGAAATCCAAACACTACTGGAGTGCTGTGATTTCTTCCATTTTTCAAACAGTCTCATACTTTGAGTAAATACTGGCAGATCACATCAGAAGGAAATCATCAGAAAAGGTCCCAGGAGCTGTTGCTAAAACTGATGTATTTAAGGAATTATATTATTATCACTGTTGACATGGGAGCTATGTCCTCTTGGAAGAGTGAAGGAAGCAATTTGAGGAGTAAATGTAGGGTTTCCAGGCACGAAGATACAACATAAAATCTTGTGGTGGATTAAAAACTAGGATCAGTTGAGAAGAAACCATGATAAGAGCTGCTGCCATGATAGAGCAATGGAGAGGCACAAGGCAGAACCAGGGCAGATACCTGAATTAGGCCAGGGGTTATTCCATACCACGAGATGTGTGGAGTTGGCCAGGAGAGGGCTGCTGCTCAGGGATTGTCTGGGTGGCATTTGAAGATAGTGAGACATCATGTTGCTAGTGGAGCATTGGTCAGTGAGCAGTTTTATTGCTAGGTGAGTGGTGAATAGTTGTGTTGCAGAGATTCACACACATTTATATATAATTACTGCAGGTTTTATTTGTTTTTCTTTTCCTTCTCTGTCTAAGTAAATAGCTTTTATCTCAACTTCCAAGTTCTATTTTGTTTCCAGTTCTCTTTCTCTTCCACTTCCCACCAGGGGGAAGTGAGTATAAGGCTTCGTGGTGTTCAGCTGCCTGCTGGGTTGAACCACCACTCAAATGCCCTTACAAGCTATATTCAGGCTCTAGCAAACAATTTTGAAAGGAGTGAGGAAAAGAAAGAATCAAGGTTGTAGCAAGATTGTAGAAAATAAACAAGGGAAAACCACGCAGCAGCATTAGGCTTCCTCAATAAATTGGAACTAATACACTCATAACAACTTCTTAAGGACTTGCCAGCCTTAGTTCATATCTACATGCATGCTTCTCCCCTCCCATTACTCCATTCACTTTTGACATTACATGTAAGCACCATGAATGTGTCAAAAAAAAAAAAAAACAGGGAACCATTATAATCAATCACAGTCTGAGGTACCTTATCCATCTATCTGTATGACATCCTAGCGAGACGAGTGCCTTTTCATTTAATTCATTCCACTAACAAGTAAGACATCAAAAGCAGATCCATGTCTCTCTTCTCCTGTATTTTTTTTTTTTTTTAAACAACAAAGTTCCCCTTTATGCTAAGAAAGTAAAGTTTTGTCCCACTGATGTTGAGATGCTAGCTTTCATTATGTATGGCAAAGGAGAGGTTGATGATTTTTATGATCATTAGCAAGCAACACAGACACTTCTGGTACACGAAATCAAAAACAAGAGGAAGCAATATTAAAGTGTTATTGGAGCTAATTTTTTTAAATAGAGCATGGCTTTTTTCATTTTCTGCATGTGAATAAGGCTCGAAGTAAAATAATTTCACTTTAAACTGGGTCTTTTTTTTTTTTTTTTAAGATCAGAGTCAGAGTAATGGAATAGAGTCAAAGTAAAACCGTCTTATGACAACAGTGTTTCAGTACTGGACATTATTTGATGTGACATCTCATCACAAGATCCTTCAGGCACTGTGCATGATCCACCTCCAAAACATAAACACCCACTATTACATTTCTGGTTTTCTGTTGTAATAATTCTTTCCTTCCAACTTATTGGAAGTAAAAGCCAAAAGCATTTTTTATACCTTATATTTTAACCAAGCCTCTTATACCATAATACAAGTCTTAAGTAAAGGCAATTGTGAAGGCTGCTTTCCTTCCCATTGGTAACTACATAGTGTTGCAGTGGAAATAACACTGCTGTGGGCTTTCACAGGGAGAAATTTTGAGATGTTCTGGCCATGGGAACAGTTCTTCAGGCAAAGAGAGCTATACAACTGCACTGACTAGTCCTGTCAATTTTGCCATCCATGTCATTAGCTGACAGTATGTTTCCGACTGGTGAACTTCTCAGAACACAATTTAATAGAGGAATCAAAGCATGCAAAATTCCCAAGGTCAGCTAAATCTGCAGGCTTTCAGGTCTGTGGATCAACATTTGTAAGCTATAGATTTCATCCATCCTTTATCCTGATGGCTAACAATCTCATCCCAAAGCTGCCTATTGACCTAACTTTGGTTGGTGTGAGAGCTAAGTAGTATCAAGATCTTAGTGTTTACAGCAATGTGATGAATATGATTTAGATGACATCAAAAGAGTGTTTTAACAAGATCAAAAAGTATAGTATCTTCCAGATTGACAGAACATGAAGATTGTACTTTCAGTTTCATTGAACATAGAAATACTACTGCATTAAAGTTATGTTCATTTTAGAAGGTTAAGCTGAAATACTAACACAGCCTTGTTTGCTGTAGAAACACGGCATGTTAGGGGAACATAGGTTATGCACATGCAGGCACCAAGAAATTTAAATTCAACCTGTCATTCAACAAAGATCTTCCCATTTTGTACAATCAGAAGTCAACCACATTCTCCTGAACACCAAAGATCCTCCCAGACCCAATTACTACATTTCTGATTATCTCTGTATTCTCCTCTACCTGTTCTGATGCACAAATACTAACAACCTACTTCTCACTTATCTGCTTCTAGAAAAACATTTTCTGAATAGATCTAACACAGCTCTAAGCTTGTAGTCCTTTTACAATGGACCTCCTTGAATTTTCAGATACTGTTGTGAAGAACATAACCAGTTTGCTTTCTATTTCACACATCTCTTAGCATCCATTTGCTGCTTAAGGCAGAGAACACAGTACTGTATGCAATCTGAGATGAAGAAAAACATTTAACCTACAGTTCTTCATATTCAGAACAAATAACTGTCTCCATGTCCCTTGCACATGTTTGATGGAGTCAGAAGCAAGTTATTAATGAAGAATAACTCCATAAAAAATGAACTCACTCTAATCAGTTTTCTTACACTACAACATCAAGAGGAGATGCCAGTCAAGCAGCTAATATTAAACCTGTAAATCTTTACCTATTTAGGATGCTTTAATCACTTCCTATGAATTAATACCATAAAACATGATTTATAGCTTAAGGAGGAGATCCTTATAACCATTAATACCTAAATCCAATCAAAAGAGATTTAGAAATTACAGATTCACTGGGGCTGTGTGTTGCTCAACAGAAAAACAATCCTGCCCCCTTCCCTGCAGGGAAAACAGTGCTAAAAAGCAACAGCATAGGTGCAGTTTCATCAAAGCTACATTCCAAGAAGTCCCCTTACATGGGCTTTCTTCAACAGATGGTCCCCTTGATTTGGTACAAGGTGCAAGATTTATAGACAAATCATAGCAACATGGAATGTGCATAAGGTGTCAGATAGAGCAATAAACAAATGGGAGGGCAACGGTCTCTTTGCAAACAAATCCTCTAACCTTTCAAGGATTGCTGTGACTCTGCTGGCCTGACTCACAACTGAGAGAAAATGCATCGTTGTTTGGGGTGGATTTTTTTAACATTAAAAGCTTTTTTTAAAATCTGCCTGTGTTTGCTGCAAATTGTTAATGGCAGTTGTATAGTCAATGAATATAAAGATGCTATAATTATGAAATAAACAAGAGAGTTTACCAAAGCAGATTGCAATTACAAAAAGAGAATAGATAGAAAGCTTACCCACATCTTGGGCTTGTTACAAAACTCCAGAGAAGGGATTTCCAGAAGAAAACCTTCCCTACTTCCAGTCAGCTCTTAAATAGGTCTAGGAGAGGTGCAGCCAGGCTCCACCCCTTCCAGCAGCACAGGTGAATTGCCTTCACCTGTGTTCCCAAGGCTGACTCGTTGCTCACCTCAGGTGATCAATCAGAGGTTCAGGCCGTGATTCAGCAGCTCCCATACAGCAGTCAACAAGGCCCTTTAGGCATAATATCCAAGATAAATTATCTTAGCAGAAACACTGCTCTGCTGTGCAATCCATGCACCAGTCTCTAGTACAGGTAGAGATGCTTCCTTCTACACAACTACATCTCTCAGATTCCAGCATCTCATGACTGTCTCGTCACCACCACGCATCAACCGTGGCCACAAACACTGGAACACTTGAACCATGTTTCCTCCATCTCTGTCACTAATGACTCTGCCAGGCACTCATCATTTGTTGTCATCTACTATCATTACTTATTACTATTATTATTTATTATTACTATTGTTAATTACTATTATTTATTTTTCTCTTTCCTCACATGCACAAGCTCTTTCATACTCTGGTCCTTGCTCGGTGTCTCTAGTTGTACAATGTCCCTTTTTCTCTCCAGTATTTCTGTAGATTTGTATACACCATATCTCTTCTAAACATGCAAAGATCAATTCCACTCTTTTCAAATTTAAACATCTGCTTGAGATACCAAAAACAGAAAGTTGTAGCATATATAAAGAGAGACAGTATGCTGACAGACTGACTCAGGTTTTAGCTGAGCAGTGCTACACTTCGGAGATACCTTCCTGACAAGAGGAAGCTTACAGTTACTGGCTTTCTAATGCGTCACTAAAGTGCTTACAGGACAAAGCATAGACATTTTTCCAATGATTGATTTCTGATTCTCCTTCTCTCAACCTCTCTTTCTTTATTCAAGACCCAAGTTGCTTTCCCTTTCCTGGTTTATGCAGAAAATCTTGTTTTAACTGAAAAGAAAGCTTGAGATGTGTCAATTGTGTAGAGATGGCAGGTGACACACTCTTAATACATTATCGTAAAGTTTCCCCAACAACTGTGCAACTCTTGTCTGTTCCAAAGGCCAGATTACGCCATTAGTACAGCCTGATATTTACGTTTTTATGGACAGAAAGAAAAAAAATGCTGAAATTGAAACAGTGAGTATTCATTCACTACCAGCAACACAGTTTTTAGAGAGCTACAAACTGCTGAAGAAGATAGCTAAGCTCTTGCCTCAGGGGATTTTAAATCTCCTTTTCTCATCCCTTCTCCAACATATGTCTGCTAAAGATCTCAGCCTGAGGAACAGAACTGGGAGGAAGCCAATCCCCAATTTATCTTGGGATCTTAGACTTCGATTTATTCTTCCATACGGCGAGTCTACTTCTGTAGAAATGATGTGAATCCTGGTTAGCCTGACAAAAACAGTGCTGGTTTTCCTGTAGAGCACCAGTGTGATGGAGTTTCTTAGGGAACCTGATACGTCTAGTACTGGTCCAAGTGCAGCAGTACTTAGAGAACATCTGGCTTTGTTGTAGACAGAGAAACTGCCAAAATATCCATTAATTTCAGTGGTACCAAACTAGGCCCATGGAAACAAGATGAAAAGAACAAAAGTTAAGGGATGTATTGCTGGGAAGACAGAGCATCCAGCATGTTTTGGGAGAGGATGGAGAAGAAGAAAGACCCAGAAAGGAGAACAGGTAGGTGAAGAGAGAGAACAGTTATTACAGGAAGAGCAACAGACACTGTGTCAAAAGGAATACTAGGAAATTTTGTATCTGTTGTTGAAGAATCCATCCTCTCGTTACTAGAAGAGCTATGATTGATGACTCATTTTTTTAAAATGAAACATTTAGCTCAAAGTGGTTTTGGAGGGTTGGAAAGGAAAGAACAGCTGTATATGGCAGGAGTGTCTGGCTGGCTGGATCAGTTGCTTTTGTTCCCAACACCGACAAAACCTTTTAAACGAGAACCTGACACAGGGAGATGTAAAGGAAGAGAAAATCATATACAAAGAAATGGAAAAAAGAAAATATATAATCAGGGGTTTGGATGTTCCCTTTATTTAATGTCAAGGGACTATGAATTTTCCTCATTTGCCCTGAATGAAAACTCTAACTATGTAACTTTGGCAGCTGACACAGCAGCAATAGCACCACTTTGATCACTGTGAACATCACATTGGCTGTACTTTTGAATCATCTCAGCATCCAGTGACTACTGGTTTTGTAGCCAAAACAGTTGACACAGTCACAGTAGCACTTTTCCGCCTTAATTCTAACCGTATAGATTATGCTGCATAATACCTTTAAAACAAGAATGGTTTTTACTTGGCAAAAGCAAGTAAAACCTACGTTCATTGACAACATCCCTCTTTAAGCCTGGTCAGCACGTGATGAAACTCTGACTTTGGGCCTGAAGTGCATTGGAATGAGTCAGTCATTTCAATGCAGTGTTGCAATCCAAATAAATTTATTCCAAATATTAGCACATTTAAAGAGTGCACAAGGGTAGGAGAATTGTTAGTAGGGCAGTGATTTCTGGAAATAAAGTTTCTGACAGGTAAATATTCACTTCAATCTAAATTAAAACCAGCAGAAACTGCACTATTGAACTCCATCTTCTACACTGCCACCCTTGGCACAAACATTTATATACCTTTCTTCTGTACTCTTCAAAACTGGACAAGCACAATTTGCTATAGGAAATTGAAAATGTAAGCTCCTGGCTAATGTCAGCAAAACAAAACAAAAAAAAAAGAAACCAATTTGCTTGCCCATCAAAAATACTGTATTGCATCTAACGGAGACCACATAGTTACAGTGGGAAACACATTATACTCACTTAAGATCCAGTTCATTAAATATTCCTTGTATTCACAACATAAGAAAGAACAGACCACATGTGTAGGGCAGCATAATTTCAAGAAGGCAACATTTTAGCTTTGATTTCCTCTCATGATCACACCACTCAATCCCCTCTAATTACTCCTGCTGTGCCAGGATCACATAGTATGTAACGTCAAGACTTGTTTTTGTCAGGACTGGGATCAATTAGAAGGCCCAACATTCAAACTATGTGCTCGACTCCCAAAGTCATGCTGCACTAATTTCCTGAAAACAACAGGCATATGTCAAACTGTTTCCCTGCACATGGTTTTTGCATTGCATTTTGCATTATGTTTTCACACGGGTCCCAAACTAATTTGCACTCACTGTTTTTCATGCTCAGCGCTTCAGGAAGGAGCACTGCAGGTCTGGAGCCATCTGATCTCACCTGTGGCTCTTACCAGAGGTATCTCACTTATGGGTCCAAGCATCAAGACTCCATAATTAACAGCGTGCTACAAGCTCTTCAGCAGGTGATTCATCCTATAGATAACCCTGTCTGAATCTTTGTGTTTTGTTGGTTTTTTTTTCTATCTATAAATTGTGATTGTTTCTGTTGACTGTTAATGTAGAGAGGTGGGATCAACCCAGGATGCAATTATAGGTTGTGTAGAGAGAGGCATGTAGAATCAGCATGTGGAAATTCCCTTGTGAGTGCCATCATTGGGTCAATGATACCCCCACAATTGGGATCAGAAAAAAAAGAGGGGAACAGAGTTCACAAGCTGCTCCTGAATTCTCCAGCCTCAGGGAAGAAGACAGTAAAAGTTTGTGAATATAAACAGGGGCTTTACGGGAACTTGACAAAACCCATACTTTTATAGTTATTTGCATATAATTGCCTGTCACATAATACACTGCAGAAGAGAGATTCGTTTTGATTCCAGTCAGAACTGGAGTGAGCCCAGGAGTTTCAGGACAGGAAGAGAACCAAACCCAGGGGCACTTTAATCTGGTCTAGGGAGCAAAGGAAAGTCCTACCACTCCATTATATTGCAACTTGGATTTAACCAGCTCCTTGTAATCGTGCTTTAACTATGATTTGCAATGGGGACTGGCTTTATTTGTACTTGTTCCCTCCAACAAATAAACTTTCACTCTAAGTCCATTCACTGGCTCCCCCTCTTTGACCTGAAATCTGTCTGCTGATTAAGGAGATAAGGAAAGCATTAGGAGTAAGGCCAAAGTGGAGGAAATTTCTCTTCTTGGCTCTGATCATCTTAAGCAGGGTTGTATTATGGAACTCTGTAATGTTAGTCTGAGCAGGAAAGCATTATTGCAGAGTTACATAAAAACTTATACACTGTGCAGAATTCTTTTGTCAACTCCAAAATATGCATTAGTAACCCCACTTCATCCACCCTGAACAAAGTAGCTATAAACATTAGTTTTACCAACATACAAGCCTTAAGAAATGTGTCATTTTACAGTAGCAAAAGGATCTTTATGTTTCAAACATTAACTTAACTTTCAAATTCTTGTAGGAGACTTAAAATTACTAAGCAAGAAGGGCTTTCTAAGCTGAGAATCAAGCTGTGAGAAAGAGCTAAAAAAGAGCATTCATTTAAATATTTTCAGAAGCCCCTAAAAATGTCGTTTTCACACAGTAAATCCGCTGCACTTGAATGTCTGCTGGCTTTCTGAAAGGAATGCTCTTCACTGAGATGCAGCCTGCTGTGGTCAAGTATGATGGAAATAAAAGTGTTGCTAATGGTGATTGAAAAGGATTCCCATTGCTGCTGGCCAGTGTTGGTTTTAGATGGGCCAACTCTGTCGAATAGAGAGCAACAGGAGACAGTAAACTTCTTTAAGGCTCTCTAAACTTTGAGTCACCTCTGCTTCCCTCCCTTTTAACACTAGTCTGTCCTCTTGTTTCTCCACCAAGCTTTATGTTAACGCCGTCTGAACCAGACTTTCACTGGAAATGTAAAGACAGATTTTCACACAAACTGAGCGACACAAAAAAGAAATGAACCGTGGGAATGAGCATTAGCACAACAGCAAGTCAACAAGGCCAAAAAACTTCTGCATTGTGGGTTAGCTCGAGAAACAAAGCCTTCACTCCAGCAAATATCCAACTACCCATTTTGACTGTGATACTTCACATTG